GCACACCCCTGAGGTCACTCGCACTGGGCCCAGGTGCACACCCCTGAGGTCACTCGCACTGGGCCCAGGTGCACGTCTGCTCTAAACTTGGCTTCCTGCTGTTTTGTCTACATCCCGGTCTGAAATTTCCTGGAACTGCTTTGTTGTTGTTGTTGTTGTTGTTGATCCTGGGGCCTGATCAGGCCTAGGCCATGCCCGGGTTTGTTCACCGAAGGCTAGCCCTCTTCCTTGAGCCGCAGCGCCACTTCCCGTTTTCGGGTGGTTCATTGGAGATCAGAGTCTCATGGACTTTGCTGCCCGGGCTGGCTTTGAACCGCGATCCTCAGGTCTCAGCCTCCTGGGTCGCCGGCCTGAGCGGCCTTTTCTGCCTTGAGTTCTAACATTTGGCTGAGATTTGTCTGATGGTTTTCTCTGCCCGCGCACCCTCCCGGCCCGGGCCTCGGCAGGGCGCCGGCCGGCTCAGAGCCACGCAGCGTCCCCCCGCGGCCTCCTCCCGGCCGTGTGGCACGTCCCGCTCACCCCCTCCCGGGGCCTCTGCCATGCCACTGGGCGTCCAGGCCTGCAGCCTCCTCCTCGTCCCCGGTGGGCCTCCTGTCCAAGAGGCGCCTTCCATTGACGAGGTCCCAGAGTGCACTGAGCACCGGGGCTGGAAGGAGCTTTGGCAGGTGTCAGCGTTAGTGTCTGGAAGGTTCCTGCCTCGAGCGTGTGTGAAGATGGAGCCAGGGCATGCAGCTGCGGGAGGGGCGGGGCACAGCCAGCTCCCGGGGCCGGTGTTGTCTGTACCCTGCTGCCTCTGGGCGCCGTCCCCCGCCGCCGTCCCCGCCGCCCGCCGCCTGGCCCCACTCGCATGCTGCCTTGCAGACGGTCCAGGATGGCCGACAGTTTCTGAAGTACGTGGACCCCAGGCTGGGAGTTCCGCTGCCGGAGAGGGACTATGGGGGAAACTGCCTCATCTACGACGCAGACAACGAGACGGACCCCTTCCACAACGTCTGGGTATGGAGCCCCCCTCCCCTCCCCCCTCCCCTTCCCCCTCCC